ATTGGTATGCGCAGGAATATTCTGTATAATTTAAAATTTTTAAAAAATATTTTATATATTTTATGTACAAATATTTAGAATATTTTGTATCTGGCTCATATATATTAGCAATTAATTTAGCATAAAACCGGCTATACTCCGATTGGAGCCCGTGCTCGATGATGACGGCATGGAGTACCGGTGCCGCGTGGACTACCGCTGGGGCCGGACTATGAGCACCTTTATCACGCTTATTGTGATTGGTATGCGCAGGAATATTCTGTATAATTTAAAATTTTTAAAAAATATTTTATATATTTTATGTACAAATATTTAGAATATTTTGTATCTGGCTCATATATATTAGCAATTAATTTAGCATAAAATAGCATACTAAATAAAGTATAATATAATATATTATAAGTAATTCAAGTATAAATTATATATAGCAGTAATTTTATATTGAACCGTATGTCTGATAGTTATAACAAAAATTTATAATCTAATTAAATAATTATTATTTTCATATATTTATTATGCCATATGTATTTATTCCGCCCGGGAACTACCAGTGCCTCCGAGAAACTTAATCATTAAAAACGAAAGAAATCAAATACAAAACGGTTTGATTGGTCCGTATAATGAGGGCTCGGAGGTCAGGCTTGTCTGCGTATCCGACGGGGGTTTGTATTCAAATTATTTATAAAAATTATTTTAATAATAAAACATGTGTTTTTAATATTAATAACTCAATCCCTGTCCCGATAGGCAAACCGGCGCCGTATGTCCACTGGTATAGGGATAACGAGCTCATCGACGACACCTACACCTACGGCACCGGCAATAATACGGCCCACAACGAGCTCTATATCAATAAACTGACCAGGACCGTATTCAATAGTGTATTATCATGCAGGGCTGGTAATAATATTACCAAAACTGTCATTACCAGGGTCACCATCGATATTAACTGTAAGAATATTCTGTACACAGAATTTATAATAGAGTTTTTGATTGGATTTTACATTTGATTTAACAGTAAAGCCAATAGACGTGGAGATAGTCAACGCTAGGCATACCCTGACAGCGGGCCGGGAGGTTGAGATGACCTGCGAGTCGAGGGGCAGTCGACCACCCGCTCAAATCACCTGGTATAAAAATGATCACGAATTAACACATTCAAGGTACTTTAATATAGCTGTTATAATGTTTATAAAAAAATTGCTATTAAACTAATACAGTATAAATAATTTTTATTATTACAAAATAATTTTAAATTATTATTATAGTAACATATTTATATATTTATACCTTGTTTAATATTACTAGTGCACAGTGTTTATTAAGTTTAAAATAAATTATTTTTATTTATTTAGTTATAGTGAATTACTCCAAATGATTTAACACTAGTAACTTGAAAATTATGCCAATATTTAAAAACAAATTCACCAAACAAATTTTTGTTATAGTAACACACAAACGTGTGTTTATACATAATTGACAATAAAATTAACATTTAATCTGAAAACACAAAATATTCACTACAATTAAACACCAAAAGTTAGAGAATCTTATAAATTTGTAACAAATTAAATACATTTCATGTAATTTGTATTTACTTTATAAGACTATTACAACTCCTATTTATCGGCGTATAATAGCCAATAAAATGCCCGGGTCTACTCATTACTACAACTACTACTCACACTAGACTACCGTTCCTATCCGTTGCAGGGAAAGCATATCACACGACGGAAATGTGACCACAAGCCTACTAAAGCTGAATCCCCAGGTGCTCGACAACGGCGCTTATCTATCATGTCGTGCGGAAAATCTGCGATTAGCTAACAGTGCTGTCGAGGACGGCTGGAAACTCAATGTGCTCTGTATGTAGTCATATATATATATAAATCTACGACATGTCGGTGCCCTATCTATGTGTGCTGACTGACTGTCCGACACTTTATCACTAACTCTTACGTAACAGTAGGTCTGGCGATATATAAATGGTGTTCAATAATACACACAAACACACAGAATGTACAGTGAATTCTCGTTATAGTGTATTAGGTTTAAGATATATGTGCAAACTATTCTAGTGTATGTGATATATGTAGGAATATCTAGATAATAATTTTAGTGCATTTGTGAGATTAGTAAAAGATTTAATTTTATATGAAATCCATTTTCAGATATATGGCTCAGATATTAAAATTTCAAAAGTAATTTTATTTAACAATTTTACGGAATATTCTGTTTAGTGTGTAGACATCTGTATAGTTTAAAATTTTTATTGATTTTTCCAAAATTTAAAAGTCTCTCTCTCTCTCTCTCTCCCTCCCTCTCTCCACTAATACAAAGATATCTCGTATAAAGTCATTACAATAATTAATGATAAAAATGTGTCCAAACATGTATTTCCTGATAAACACATTAATACCGCTATTTTTGGTGTCGGTATATACTACCGAGCGTTCACTGTATGGGCAATAATAATGCAGTAATTATTGTCCGTCCGTTGCATATGTTGTTTGAATAGATATATAAATAACGGTTCAGTCGATACCACTGCTCAGTCGAGAGTGTCTGTGCTTTTTGAGCACCGGATCCTTAATTAGTACTGAACTCAAAGAATGTATGCCATTGACGGAGAGAGAGAGAGAGAGAGAGACTTAAGATTTGTTTTGTATAGTAAGTAATATACTGTACTTAATGTCTATTCAGTATATTAAACACAAAGTCATTTACTTATAGAGTGTTCATATAATTCAAGCCATAATTATGATTAGGTTTTAAGAGAGAATATTCTGTTTGCAAAGAATTTTTGTTTATTTCAATGTTGAATACAATTTCAAACATATTTTTAAGTTTTCTGAAAAGTCTTATTCATTTTAATTGTGAACTACTTTTGAATGGCAAACGAGACTCGCTATACATTAAGAAGTTATTTAATAAATTTTAAAACTTAACATTCATAACATACTTACAAATAAAAATATTTACCATACAGTGTCAAGATTTAAAATGTTTTATAAATGGACAGTTATTCTTACTTGTTAGCTAGATTGTAAATATATTCACTAGTATCTTACCAGTATGCATAACATTCAAATCTAAAAAATTAAATATTTTAATTCAATGGGAAAATATTTACAAACATGATTTTAATCGTCAAATACTTAGCATTTTAAAAAAGTTTTGCTTAATACATAACTTTTAGCTTTAAAGCCTTAAGTAATAAGTAAATTGTCTTATATATCATGCTATTTAGTAATCTCTCTCTCTCTCTTTCTCTCTCTCCCTCCCTCTTACACTCACTCCCACATCACAGACATCCCAATAGTGAGCCTACAATACAAGGGACAGTCCATTGAGAGCACAGTTGTCAGCGATGGCGACGAGATTATTATGGAGTGTTCAGTGAATGGCAATCCATTAGCAAAAGTTGTACTCTTCACACACGACGGCATCCAATTAGTCAGTGACTCGCAGTCAGGTGTGTATACCCAACGCAACACTTTGATCCCATTCCCCTCCGCATCATCCCTTTCCCATCATCCCATCCCCCCCATAGTCTACACTGTATGTCATAAATCACTTTAATCGCCACTCATTTATTCCGTGTATATATCAATCATAACTCGTATATGATTTATACTGTCTCTATATATATCGCACCGGTATGTATTCGCGCGGGAACAGGTATTATTGTCAATAACTCATCGCTGGTTATAACCAGTGCCCGAGCCATACACGGCGGAAGCTACCAGTGCTGGGCCATCAACTCGCAGGGGAAGGGTATGAGCCGTGAAATTAAAGTCACCGTTCAGTGTATGTATCGCTCATTAGTATACAGAATATTCTGTGCATTGAGTTCAGTAAATATAACACACGATTAGAGAGAGAGAGAGAGAGAGAGAGCACTGAATATACAGAATATTCATATATCCAGAGGTAAACAGAATTTAAAATTATTTTTTTGGCTACAGATCCGCCCGTTTGTAGCCAACTGTCCACAACAGTACGCATACAATCGCTGGTAGAGCCCCTGAAACTGGTGTGTAAAGTGGACGCCCAGCCCTCCGAAGTGGAGTTCCGGTGGTCGGCCAACTCGAGTGCCGCTAAGTTTCATTCGGGACACGACTACAACTCGGACGGCCTGTCCAGCACATTAACCCTCGAGCCCACCCTAATCACATCGGACAGGGATGTTGTAATCCAATGCGTGGCCAGCAATACGGTGGGAACCACACGCCAGCCCTGCCTATTCACGTTCATACCGCCTACCAGTCCCCCACCGATCACCGACTGTCAGCTCCGTAACCGTACGACCACTGGACTCGTAGTGGATTGCGTGCCACCAGCACCGGGGGGTGTCGGAGGTCTGGCCCAGAGTTTCTATCTGGAGGTCTTCGACAGCAATCAGGTTCTGGTGATGAATGTGTCCAGCGATGAGGTGCCGGTGTTTGCGGTGGGAGGGCTGGTATCCCAGGCCAGCTACTCGGCCCGCGTCTACGCTGTCAACCAATTGGGCAAAAGCCCGGCCTTTGACGTCAAACTACAGACACATAAACTGTTTAACAAGAAATTCAGTAAATATTTCCGATTATTAGTTAATTAATAATTAGTTAATTATAGTTAGCATTGTATCCGGGATGACCGGAAATATATAGCTTGAGGGGGGCTGGTAGTTTATAAATTAATAGGTGCTGTTAAAATAGTTATCATAGATTTATTTCACTAGAATTTAAATATTTTTCACTATTAATTAAACATAAAAATTCTTGTCATCCCTGAACACATGAATAATATTTTAAGGGTATTATCAATTGATTAATGTTTACACACCTGTCCTCACAGTACTAGACAGCCCGCAGACCGACTCATATGAGGTGTGGACAGCACTGGTAGCCGCGCTGCTAGTGATCGGAGTACTCGTACTGATCATAATCACCATAATATGCAAAATTCGTGTTCGCGATCGACATAAGAATATCAAGAATAAGTCGCCTATAGATACCAGTGATATATCAATGGCTAACAAAATGCTTAATAATATAGACAATCAAAAGTAAATATAATTTTATTTTTGATTCAAAACCCTGTATAAAAAATTTACAGAATCTAAAACAAAGTTTAAATTGAATTTTCACAACAGATATACAATATATTTGGTGCCAAACAATACCATCGAACAGAATATTCTGATGAATGATATACGGAATCCTGATTTGATTCCCGATATATATGGTAATTGTTATCAAGAATTTGTTTGTATTTTTAAATTTTTAAATTTGAATTTTATGTTTTCAAATACTCTAAGACCTGGATAGCATTGAACTGTCCGATCGCACCGACTGTTTATCAATGGGTCGACCGGTGGCGGCGCAAGCTATACAATCAAACGGTGATATACACCATAAATTGAATTTAAATAGCATTCACCGCAAGAATATTCCGGGAAATTCTGTATTCGTTACGAATCAAAGTCTCCGATCGCAGCATCAAATCAACAATAAATCAATTCTCGACTCAAATGACATCGAAATTCACGCTGTAATCAAGAATTTTGTTATAAATAAATAGGTTTTAAGGAAATGGTTATGAATATATATATATATATTTCATAAAGTGTTATACAGTCATGAATAGTAAAAATAGTTAGAATTTTAGAGAATATTTTCTTTTGAAATATATTTCTGTTTTTTTTGTATGAAATTCTTGTGTAAAAGTATTTTGAATTTATTTTAACAGTTTTATAAAACATGTAGACAATTATATTCAAATTTTTCTAGCACTACTATATATTTAAAATTTATATTACCATATTTAGTGAGTGAGTGAGTGAGTGAGTGAGTGAGAGAGAGAGAGAGAGAGAGAGAGAGAGACGCAAACCAATGGAAACTGTATTTTTATAATTTATAAAATATTGTTTCAAAATTTCACATAAATTGCTGTCCTGTTATCCAACAGTTTTACAAAACATGTAGACAATTATATTCAAATTTTTCTAGCACTACTATATATTTAAAATTTAAATTACCATATTTAGTGAGTGAGTGAGAGAGAGAGAGAGAGAGAGACGCAAAACTATGGAAACTGTATTTTTATAATTTATAAAATATTGTATAATTTATAAATGTTTTAAAATATTTTTAATGGATCTCAACATACGTTCAGTACATAACATTTTATTTCACATAACATTTTTAGTCCTAAGAATTAATTAAAAATTTCAATATATTTCAGATCCAACTGAATCCCAATGAGGATACTGTATATCCACTCACGACTGCTGTTTAAGGCATCACTTCCAGTGGTATTTCAAATATCACATTAAAATAATCATAAAATACTTTGTTTGCTACACTTCTATACTACCGGTGCTATTATGGATAGTTTCAAACATGTTTTTAGTGCCTTTTGGATATTTTATTTATATTTAATTACATTTCGTAATTATAATTCAATAACTTTTTGAATTTATATTTTAATAAAAATATATGTACACTGTTTTGTATGAATTAATAATTAAATAAATGGAAATTTATTACGTTCATGCTAAATTATTTATTTTAATATTATCAAAATTAGCGGGTATATTTTATTACTATTATATAAATAGAAAATAATTATTTATAATTAAACTAAATATTTATTATCGAAAATAGTTAAAATATTCATATTACTGTAAATAGAAAATTCTGTATATTTATTAACTATCTCATTTATAGCACACATACCTTACCTCCACCAATCAAACCACTATTTCCTACACCGGGAAAGTTATCTCAATTCTGTGGCCATACATAAAAATATTCACATTTATTATAACCATCAAAAATATGTGAAAACGCATACATAGTATACAAAGTTGATAGAGATTTGTAAAGCAGATTATAATGGAGTTAAATAAGATGTAAGGAAATTAAACATATTGTGCATAATATATATCATACATAGATTTAGCTAACAGGGATAGGTATGCAAGGGGTTGGGTAGTATACATAAATCAATAGATCTTTAAAAAATCGGTTATAATTTAAAACATAAATTTTTAACTAAACTACTAATGCATATAAAATGTTAACATTTTTATCATTACTGTATATTCACGTAAATTTTTTTCACACCACCACTTTGAATGCAATTCCCTTCCGGTGCCGTTAATAAGTGTTTGAACAGCTCTGGTGGTGGTGGGGGACTGGTATGTAAGCAACACTCGGCCATGCATTCAAAGGCATTATTTTTCATTATTATCATAAAGTAATACATTATTGCTATTCGCGTGAATACAACCAGAAATAAAATCAATGCATTCATTGTGTGGTGTATTTCACACGTGAATACCCTATGCCTTAACACTAACACTGTATTCGCCGGCAATATATTCTCATTTATAACTCTCTCTCTCTCTCTCTCTCTCTCTCTCTCTCTCTCGCATTCACACAATGAACTACTGGTGCGACTGTGGATTGTGTTCATGTGTTCGTGAATATAATTAGGTGACAAGGAATTAATACTAATTTATATGACATTAGACACTATGGGCTATAGATGAGAGAAAGAAAGAAAGAAAGAAAGAGAGAGAGAGAGAGAGACTGTTTCTTGTATAATAAATTCATGCGATATTTAGTATTCATAAATTAGTAATAAAATTATAAATTTGCAACGAGTGAATTAAGGTGCTTATTAATTATACACATAATGCTGAGTTTAATTAACATAAAGGTTAAGCATATCTTATTTATAAACTAAATAAATATAAAAGTAAAAATAATTAAAATACAGGTAAATATTGTAGCATTGAATGTTTAAAATAATTTATGTAGACATTAGTTTCGCATAATTATTTTATTTTATTAAAAACAACTATCAGTCCATAATTAGTTGTAAAAAATACGAAAGTATTAATTGTATTACTTTGCATAAAGTATCATTTTAGAAACAATAGCTAAATTAAGAGTTATCTGCTTAAAATTATTTTTATATTAAAAAATAATAACTTTGTTAATTTAATAGTTTATTTTTAGTAATCAACAAAACTATTTCTAATACAGTGCTAGGTAAACAGTTAATGAAAATTTGTTTTATTTATAATAACAAATATCAATGTTTTTATAAATTAAACACAAGTGTTATCTAAATATAAAACAATTTCTAAATTCAACGCTAAATTTATTTTTAAATATTTAAACCTAACCTTAAAATGTCAGTCAATGATGAAGTTATCGCCAGAACCCGCACCCAATTTATGGCTATGGCTGAGGACTGTGCCGACGCCTACCACCTGTCCGACATTGAACGGGTTGGCCAACAGGACTGGTGGGTCGAGCGGTTCGTATTGACCACCAAATCGGAGGACCCTCAAAGCGCTCGACAGGGCTATGAAGTGGCGGAAAGCCTTCGGAGTGAACGACTTGAGAGCCGATACCTTTCCCCTCGAGATGTACCGCATCGGATTGTACGTACAGTTAGGCGAGGACAGGGAGGGCCGACCATTACTATGGGCACCGCAGGTACGGCACCGGAGGTGCAGGGAATGGACCAACTTCAGAAGCAGTTTATTGTCTATAACTTCGAGCGACTGGACCGGGAGTGTAGTCATGAGGGCTGGGCTATTGTGGACGATAGTACCGGTGCCGGGCTGTCTAATGTGGACATAGATATGGCCAGGTTTAACATAGAGGTGCTCCAGGCCTACTACCCCAAAGGTGTCAAGTATATGTTTGCCGTGGACTTACCCTGGATACTGAACGCCACGGCTAAGGTTATCGTGTCGTTCATGAGTGAACAGCTGAGGAATGCCTACAAACCGGTTAGTGGCTCGGAGTTGAGCCAATATATAGCACCCGAGTATATACCGACGCACCTGAAGGGCACGTATAATAAGCCGTTGGTGGAGGTGCCTGAAGGTGTCCGTCCACTGGATCAGCACAAGGAGTTCACCACAGATCAGATTCAGACAATATATTCGGTGTTTAAATTGGAGTTAAATGAGTTTTGCATTGAAATACTATTTTGTTATTTTGTCCAGGATAATTATTTTAGATACAGTAATTAGTATGAAGTTAATATTATTTAATGCCATTAACTTATTATAATTTATAATTTTTTACGATGTTGATTTATAATAAATAATGTTGATTAAATAATAGTTATTTAATAGTGGTAACGTTATTAAAAATAATTTATTAGTCTATAAAATATTGTATTTTCTAAAAATATTATAAATTAAAAATTCCATATATTGCTAATAATTTTAATATTTTGTTAAATAATATAACATGTTTAATTATAGTACCAAAATTACTAAAACGATCCAGATGGTTGCACTGAATAAGTATTATTAAAATTCATATTCAGTTAAATTGATAAAATTTTAAAGCTATTCTTATTATAGAGAAAAGTAGTGACAATCGTTTTCAATAAGTTATTATTTATTGATAAATATAGTTATGAAAAATAACTGCATACTACTAAATGCTTAATTAAAATTTCCAGAACCAAATGACATTTAAAGTAAAAATTAACCTAGACAAGTAATCATTGAAACTTTTATTTTTACTATAATTACTGTATGATACTGTATCAAATTAATTGGTAGTGAATTAAAGTGAAAAATATTTATTGTTATGTGTTTACAGGTTCAAAATTTATAACAAGTATTTCTCAATGTAGAAATTAATTAAAAATAATTTTTAATTACATCTCACACTAACCGCACACACCTTTTAGGCAGTCATTGAAAACCCATATGTTTTAGCTACAGATTGAAAGTCTAAAAAAATAAAATTTATTTTTCAACACAACTATTATCTAAATATAAAACGATTCCTAAAATACAACCCAAAAGTTGTCTAAAACCTAAACCTTTACCCAAAAATGTCAGTCAATAAGGAGGTCATCGACAGAATCCGCGCCCAATTCCTGGCTATGGCTAAGGGCTGTCCCGACGCCTACCACCCGTCCGACATTGAACGGGTTGGCCAACAGGACTGGTGGGTCGAGCGGTTCATACTGTCCGCCAAATCGGAGGACTTGTCCCTCAAACTCATGGATAAGGTATTTAAATGGCGAAAGGAGTTCGATGTCAATGACTTGAGGGCCGATATGTTTCCCCTGGAAATGTACAGAACCGGTGGTTACGTCCCCGTAGGTAAGGACAGGGAGGGTCGACCTATTGTATGAATCCCGTGGTTCCGGCACCGGAAGTGCCCGGAATGGACTAAACTCACGAAGAAGTTCATTGCCTATCAATACGATCGCGTGAACCGGGAGTGCCATCACGAGGGGTGGGTTATCATAGGCGACGCCACGGGCACCAGGCTCTCCAATATTGACATGGAAACGGCGAGGTTTTTGAACGAGGTGCTCCAGTACTACCCCAAAGGTATCAAGCACATGTTTGGGGTGAATATACGGCAAAGATTGTCATGTCATTCATGGGCGACCACCTGAATGCCTATCAGGCTATTAGTGGCGAGGAGTTGGCTAAGTATGTCCATCCGGAGTATATACCGGTGCATATGGGCGGCAGGTATGATATGCTACCAATGCTTGAGGAGCCCCCCAAAGGGGTCCGACCACTGAGCGAGCACAAGGAGTTCACTGGCGACCAGATTAAGGCTATCTATAAGGCCTTCGAAGTGGAGTTAAAATAGTTTTTGTTATTATGTTATGTTATGTTATTTTAAATAATTACACATGTCCATGGTGCTATGTTTATGTATGGAATCAATGTTTCATTAATAGCATTGTTCTCCAATCTATACAGTAATTATGGAATACAATCAAATTGAATGAAAATAATTAATATTTTATATTATTAATGATAAAAATAACTTGCTTAAACATATTTGTTCTAAGAGTTGTATTCACTCTATTTTTAAAAATTTGTAAATTCCTTCTAGATGACTTATATAAAATTATTTATAATTCAATATTACAGTATACGGTATTTATTATTATTATAATAATTTTATTTAATTTTATAATAATTAAATAAAACTTTATAATGTCTTTTTAAATACTGTGCCTCCATCTGGAAATGCTTTATATCATTACGTAGACTGCTATCCGTGTCCACCACATCCAGTACCACCTTTTTAATTGCACATTCCTTTCGTTATAATTAATTTCCAGATATTAATTTATTTCATAATCTAGTATTATATATTAATTTAGAAAATAAACACTTACTATGAAAACATGTTTCCAATGATATCAATATCCAATACTTGCGTTAATTGAAAGTATTATAATTAAAAGTATACAAAGTATTTAATTAAATTTAGTACTATTGATATATAATTACTTTATGTCTAACTATATGTTTAATTTAGATATTTTACAATTTCTCGGTTAAACTTTAAACTGTTGCCCCC